TAGGTCTAAATTGCTAATACAGACTTTATATTTTCCTTGATTTAAAACAGAAAAGAAAATTTCTGCCTGTTAAATTCCAGATAATTTCTCAATTTTGAAAGAATTAAGAAGAAAATGCCTGGCTCATTCCTGCCTCAGGCCCTTTGCACTTGTGGATCCCCCCTCTGTCAGAGTGCTCCCTGCCCCCATTAGAGCTTGGTATGGCCAGCTCCTTCTTCTCACTAAGGTCTTAGCTCAAATGTCTCCTGCTCCGACCGCCTTCCCTGAACACCCTGTGGAGAGTAATCCCTCCTCCTCTCTGACCCTCTCTCTCTTATCATCTTTATAACACTCTTATAACTTCTGAAATTATCTTCTTTCTTTCTTGTCCCTATTCTTCTGTTAGAATGTGAACGTCATAAGGGCAGGCTCCTCATCTATGATGTTCTCACTACTTTGTCTTGAGTTCGTAGAATGGCACAGGTGGGATCTCAATAAATACAGGTTGAATTAATTTTTCCCACCTGCTGCAGAGGAAAGCCGCTGCTGTTAAAAGCTGAATTAAACTTTCCTAGTCTCTCCAGAACCCAGGCATGAAGATACTTCCCAGTTTGCCAGTTGCCTGGACTGGGTCTTTTAAAAATTTCAGCAAGTTTTAAGAATAACCAAAGACAAAAATACATATTTTAACAAGTATAGTCCTTAAATTATCCTTTATGAAAAGGTAAATAGCTATGAAAGAAAAATAGAAATCCATGTCATCGTTAATTTTTCTTTAGATATGAAGGACTTCATGAATTACTCTCCAGCTTAAGGAATTGGTTCCTTGGAGAATAAAATCGCTAATTTTTTTTTTTTTTTTTTTTTTTTTGCCATCTTGCTGGAATTGATCACAGATGGTACAAAGGTCACCTGCAGAGCAGGCTAGCCTCAAAGTCCTTAATGCCAAACGAATGAGCCTTTACGATGTAAAAATAACTATAAGAAAGAAAGTGTTTAATTGGTCAGAAGTGACTATGTTCTTTGATGCAACTTGGGACTTTAAAATCTATTTTTTTTAATTATATTTAAAAAACCAATTCAATGGGAAAATAGGCAAAGAATATGGATGTTCTCAGAAGAAGAACTCCACATGGCCACAGATATATGACAGCATGCTCAGCTTTACTAATAATTGAAGAAAAACAAGTTAAAATTTGACTTTATCATTTTTGCTTATCAGATTGACAAAAGTTAAAAAGATCAACAATAAATAATCCACTTTAGCAATGATGTGGGGCAATAAACACTTAGACACAATGTTGGAGGAAGAACGTACATATATTAATTTGGTCTTTTGGAGGGTAATTTGGCAGTGTCTATTAAAGTTTTAAATCTGCATGTCCTTTGACCCTGTAATTGGACTTCAAGTTTATCTTTTAAAAATATTGGCCACGTGCACAAAACAGAATATTCACTGCGGCATTGTTTGTAACAGAAAAATTAGGAATAACTTAATTAAATGTCCATCAATAGGGGAGTGGCTAATAAACAAATTATAACAAATATAGACTAGGAAGCTTTAAAAGAAATAGGTAGCTCCTCTATTCACCTGGAAGGATGTCCACAATCTACTCTATAGTTAAAAACAACACATAACATTCTTCAAATTGTATTGATTTTTTTTTTTTTTTTAAAGATTGGCACCTGGGCTAACAACTGTTGCCAATCTTCTTCTTTTTTTTTTTTCCTGCTTTATCTCCCCAACCCCCGTACATAGTTGTATATCTTAGTTGCAGGTCCATCCAGTTGTGGGATGTGGGACGCCGCCTCAACGTGGCCTGACGAGCAGTGCCATGTCTGCGCCCAGGATCCGAACCCTGGGCCGCCGCAGCGCAGCGCATGAACTTAACCACTCGGCCATGGAGCCGGCCCCCGATATATTTTTTAAAAAATGTTTTTTCACACATAAATGTATAGCAGGCAGAGTATCCTTTTAAAACGTAAGTCAGAACCCTGTTACTCCTCTGCTCACAACTCTTCATTGGCTTCAGTTCTCACTCAGATTCAAAGTCAGAGTCCTCACCACGATTTCCCTCCCCACTGAGTGGCCCTGGGCTACTGCTCCTACTTCCTGCCTTCCCCCTGCCTCCCTCAGCTCTCACCCCAGCCTTCTCTCCAGTGCCTCCGGGTTTCTGGACTTGCTGTTTCCTATGCCCGGGATTCTTCCCCCATATCCTCATAGCTCGCTTCCTCCATCCTTCACATCTCTGCCCAAATGACACTTTACAACAACCACAGTCCCTGACCGTAGTCTATGTTTGGGGGAGCGCGCCCCCTCACCCGTCCTCTTGCCCTGGCACTTTCCATTCCACTTCCCTTCGCCACCGTCTGCTACGTGGTGGATTTCCTCCTTTATTGGTTTGTGGTCTGTCTCCCTCCTCTAGAACTGTAAACTCTATGAGGGCTGAGATTTTTGCTTTTTTGTTTCATTACTGGATTCCCAGCACCTAGAATAGCACCTGGCACACAGTAGCTGCTTAATATTTAGTGAATGACTAAATAAAACTTCATTTTCGTATGTGCATAAAAACAGATGTAGAAAAATACATAGCAAACTCCTGACAGGGATTACTTCTGGAGAGTAGGATTGGGAGCTAAGGGTAGAACATACACCCATACTGTACATTTCTGTACCACTGGAAACATACTACTTTGGTAATTAAAAACTAAATAAAAAATATTTTAAAGGAAAAACATAATGGATCCATCTCTCCTTCCAGGTGACACAAAACACTTTTTTGGGCTCCTTTCTGCAGACACTGAACGTAAGTTTCAAAAAGAACTATCCTAGGCATGTGTCCACAGTATGTTCCATCCTGAGTTCAGAAAATACCAGTAAGCCTGGTCATTATGAAGTTCTAATACCATCAGATAGACTAGGAATATAAGACTCACACACAGACCCACACACACACAAACACACACACACTGTGGCTTGCCCCTGCCGTGTGTCTGCTGGGTAAAAAGCCTTTCTAATGAACACACCCAAGCTCTCTTAACACCCACTTCCTCCTTCCAGCAGAAGGAATTTTACTGGTAATTCTTTGTGCTGTTTTTCTACATGGTACAATCTTCAACACTGCTGTCACAGTGAACTTGATTTCGTCCCACGTGGGCTACAAAATTCATTCATTGCTAGAGGGAGCCCATGAGACAGGACACATTGCCTCCCTCAGCCACAAATCCAGCCTAACACAGCATGACAAGCATCTCCGGACACAGTCACGCGCACAGCAGCTACATAAACCCCATGTCGAGTGTCTTTCATAAGTTGTCATGGTCATGAGGCCTCTGTTAAGGAACTTCTGATCCTCATTCTTGGGTCTTTATTCCCCAGACACACGCTCGTGGTAGTATTGGTAATGCCCTCCCTGGGAGCTGGGCCACAGGGCCCTGGATGCTAGTTTTTCCTGGATCCTTAACTGGCCACAAAGGCTCCCCAGAGAGCCTGCAAGGCCTCTCCCTGATAGGATAGCAAATGGGCAAAGGAGTGGAATTTAGCTCTGAGAGGCCAGAAGGAAGACTGGCCTGCCTGGCTCCGACAGTTTCTGCAACTCAGCCCAGAAAGCAGGGCAGCAACAGCCAACTGTCATCACCATTTTGGTGTGGAAACTGGAACTCTCAGGATTTTAAATGAGAACTAACCAACCAGCTGGGTTGTTTTTACTTTCTTTTCTCTATTTTTAACAGAGTCAGATGGAATAAAAGTCAAGAGTATTTGAGAATCAGCCCTGGGTGGACACTTATACTTGATTTTACACTTGATTTTTACTACCTTTTGGTAAAGCAACAGATTTGGATTGTGGGCTATTGCTGACAATTCTCCTGAATGGGTGCCCCCTGGTCTCAGCTTTGCTTCTTTAGAAACACTGATTTATTACTCCTTGGCTCAGGATTCATTCTGGGGCCTTGTGATTCTAATGACACTTCAGAAAGGAGATCAATTTATTCTAGAGGGGTCTGATTACTGGGATTCACCTTTCTTGGGACCAGAATACAGGCTTTGGAGCCGGACCATCAATGTGGTCTTGAGCAAGAGAACTTAGCCCTCTGAACTCTAGTTTGCTCATCTGTTAAACAGAGATAATAATACCTATCTGGTAAGATTACTGTTGGGATTAAATGAGATAATGCAGAAACAGTGCTTAGTGTCATACTTGAGACAGGTGAGAACTCACTAAGTCTTTACCATTATTACCATAAAGTGACGCCCCCAATTTTCCCCATCTAAGACTTTTCAGATAGGATTTCCCACAATTGCTCAGAACAGCCTTTCACAACAAACCAATCTCAAGACTGAGCACCCTAGAACCTCTTGCCCAGGTTCTACTTGCCTGGAACTTCATCAGAGGAATAGAATTGATGTTGCTCATATGTGGGTCTCAAATGTACTTCTGAAACACACACACACATGCTCACTCAACACAACACACATGGAACTGACACCACCAGGAGCCTTGGGCTGAAGCTCAGGGAACTCACAAGGCCGCTCAGCAGCCCCCCAGCCTTGCCTTTGCACCAAACTACGGACAGGAGATTGTTCATTGCTACCATCAGTCAAGCCCGAGGGAGATGACAGGGGAACTGTGACAGTGGAGTGTGTAGAGGCTCACAAGTGCCTTACACCTGCAGTCCTGCCCCAGCTGGGGGACCACAGTGCTCTGAAGACCCTCAGACCCTTAAAGGGCAACATTCCCTCTTCACATCAACCCTGCCTCTTCCTTTTTGTCCCTCAATTCAGCAAACATTTATTAAGGGCCCATCACAAGCCAGGGACTATGCCAGGTGCTGGGGAGCTCCTAGTCCAGCAGGTACAACAGACGCCAACATGTAGGCCCCAGATGAGAGTAGGTGTCCAGGGTGTTCTCTGGGGTGACGCTGGAGAGGGGAGGATGGGCCAGACTTTTGGTTACTCTCTGTGTTTACAGAGCTGAAGATAGTTCTGTTAGCAAGAATGTCCTGGCCAGTGGGCCACTCACCACATTGGTTTCCTACGTGGCCCTGGCCCACTGCACAGGACTCCACCCGGCGTTCAGATGTTCTCGGAGCCTTTTTAGCCACATCAAGGTCCATGCCTGAGAGCTGGAGGTGAAACTGCTCCCTGTGGGCAGCCTTCCGGAGCGTGCGGATGGCTTTCCGGAGCCGCTTCTCTGTTCGCTTCACGAGGCAGCTCAGATCGCAAGATGCTACAGAAACGAGAGGGACAGCAGAGGGAGAGGATGTCAGGCTGCAGCATGTGAGGATGTCCGGACCAACTGCAGGACCCACCAACACCCACGTTCCCTGTGGACAGAATGGGAGACACCTGGAGCAGGGCACCTAGCAGGCTGGGCAGCATTTGATTTGAACAGAAATTTGTTGACCAAAATGGTACCTTTGGGTTTTTACGAAGAAGATAAATTATCAGGTTCCAAACCAATTCAGTTTAGCTTGGGGGTGAAAAAAAACAGGAGATACTTCACTGGTTGCATTATTTTTTTCCCCCAAGAATGAGGAAAAGTGAAAGGCAAAGGAATAAGGAGAAGCTGTGAGGAGCCTGGCACTGTAGACTGTTTTCAAACCAACCTGTCACCTCCTTTTGGTTAGTTTCAAGCTCAAACTCAATAGTGATAAACATTTCCTTAGTGGCGCTCGGTCGGCCAGGGGCTCCCGGGACTTGCTTGCCGGAGCTGCATGTAAGGTTTGCGTAGCGGAAGCTCTCTTTTACTGAGCTGTGCTTCTCTGTATGAAGAAACAAGATTATCGGAAGCCAAATCCTGGCAGAGTACTCAGCTGAACATTCGCTAGAGCTCAGTAAACATTTCATTAAAACAATTCTCAAGGGACTAAATGATTAACTCCAGATGCCAAGACGTTGCAAGCCCTCAGCTTGGAGCATAGTGACATTTAAATTTTGAAGAGCCAGTGTTGCCTTTTATTTAACTTTACAATTTAGCTCTTGAAAATCATTATCATGGATAAATGCCGGATGTTTCCGACTGACCGGCCACATACGTGGAAGACGGGAACCAGGGGGCGTCTTGCATTCCTGACTGACAGTTTGTTAAGGTGTGCTCATGTTCTCACAGTTGGTTTCCTTTAAGCTGGACTGTGATGTCCCAAGCCGGAGCTGAGGCTTCAACTAAGAATGAGCACAGGAATAGGAAGGAAACCAACTCCTGCTTTTAGGCAAATTGACCTTGCTGTACTTCCAACCCGAAGGGGAAGCTGTCAAGTACATAACAGTGATGCCTCATTTTGAAATAACCAGGAGCAATAAAAGGCACAAAGAATCAACAGAACCAAACAATATCATGAAGGCGTCTAGGATGGGAGGGACGGTGTTGCGTAAGGCAGGGCCTTGCACATCCCTTTTCCTGACTTTGGCTGTCCCCTCCCCCCATAGCTTTCAGGGACTCTTAACTAATGATTGTTAACCTGAACCAAAGAGCAGGCCCACGTATCATCCACACACTTAATTTGTCTCTACTTAAAAATCTTACTCTACTGAACTGACGTATATCTGTATCACATTCTTCTTCAACCTTACAAGGATGTTCAAAGCAACAGGTCATCAGGGGCCAAAGAAAGGAAGAGGCAAATTAATTCTCCCTTCTATATATTTCCCTAAAGATCTATCTTACCTTTTCAAAAGGTTACCTTGAAATCTCACTCTGAACACATGCTCATTTTGAACCTTTTTCCCTTTCAATTTTCTTAGATCTATTTCTAAAACTTTTTATTTTGGGGGCCGGCACGGTGTCCGGGCGGTTAAGTTCATGTGCTCCGCTTCGGCAGTCCAGGGTTTCACCAGTTTGAATCCTGGGTGTGGACATGGCAACACTCATCAAGCCATGCTGAAGTGGCATCCCACATGCCACAACTAGAAGGACCCACAACTAAAAATACACAACAATGTAGCGGGGGGCTTTGGGGAGAAAAAGGAAAAATAAAATCTTTAAAAATAATAATAGCAAAAATATAAATAAATAAAATAAAGAGTGAAAATCTAATTTGAAAAAAAACTTTTTATTTTTATTTGTACGAAAGTTGCTAATATAGTCCTGAGAGTTCCCATAGACTCTTCACCCAGTTTCCCCTGATGTTAACTAACACTGGACATTAGCATGTGCATTTATCAAAACTAAGAAATTAACATTAGTATAATACCATTAAATAAAGACCAAATCTATTTTTAAATAAGGCTTTTCCCCTCTAATCTAAAAGTGTAAATGCTCACTGTGGAGAATTTGGAAAACACAGGAAAAAAAATTTGTCATGCATCATCCTCCTACCCAGATATAACCACTACTAACGATATGGTGAGGGTTTCTTTCCTTCTACTTATACTTTTTCTTATACAATTTGGGTTGTAGTAGATATACAAGATGCTACTCTCTCTTTTTCCATCTTAGCATTACAACAAAAAACATTTTCCTAGGTCATTGAACATTCTTTGAAGACATATAATTAACAGCTACATAATATGGAAGAACCAAAATTAGTCTTGGTTAGTTATTTAAAATAGGCAGTCAAAAGCGACTACTGTAAACTTTATGTTTGTTTGTTATATGATTTATTTGAGGGTTGACCAGGAAAACAAGCCTCCCTAATACATGAATCCTGATTACTTTAATCTCCAAAATTATTCTATGAAATAATACAGGAAATGCAAGCCGGGGGAGAAAGAGGAGTGTTGGGTTCTGCTCTTTTCAACAAGGACAGTTCTACTCGGATGGTATCTGTTCTGCCAAAGCCAATGGAGTCACTGCCTCCAAAAACTAGATCCAGCAGGAAAGCTGGATATTACATCTTTGTTCATCAAAGATTATGCTTTCTGAGCCAAACCTTGTTTTATTTCTTTGGCTTATCTTTCAAGTAAACTCTAAGATCTAGAAAATTTAACCCAATATGATCACCAATTGCTAATGCATCTTAAAGCCCTTATTGATTCCTGTGAACTCCCAGGTTTCCCCAGAGCTTCAACATCTGTACCTCGCAAAGGGAGCTCTGAAGTATAACCCCAGAACTGGGAGAGGTGCTGGGCTGGCTCCTCTTCTTCCTGGGAAGAGGCTCCTTGGAGATTCTGAACTGCTGTTGGATCCCATCTAAAGAGCTCGGCTTGTTACAGGCCCTTTCCCAACATGCAGGCAATCTCCCTGCACCAGCCATCTGATTCCATACCTGGTAGTGCTGGTCGCAGACCCTCGGGAAACAGCTCAGCCTTTTTCAAACTACACTTGCCTTCATTTAGCTTAAACGTTACACTTGTCCTGACGGTGGCGACATCTTCAGAAAGAAACAAGTGAGAGATGTTACCTTTAGAGGCAAAGGAATGGAAACACCCTGGGTAATGGCGAGCTATCCACTGGCTGGGTCCCACCGCACGGCAAACTCTGAGCCCCTCTCTTACTCTGAGACCAAGAAAGATTTAGATCATGGAGCGCCCATTACCCTGGGACCGGGGACGTCAGGAGCCTCCTAAGAGTCACACTTAACCCTCCATCTGAGATGAAGCCAGTGCTCAAATATAACACAAGGAGGGCCAAAAACAACCTCAACGGTGAGATGAAATGTGAGGTCATTTTTGTGCCTTCTTGAGAAAGGAGACCAGAATCACCTAGTTCAAATTTGGATGAGACTGTAGAGAGAAGTGGTGAAGGGCAGATTCTCCTAAATAAGCCTGTCCTGGAAGGACACAGCTCAGGGAGCCACCATTCCAGACAAGGATGGTACTCACTAAACGTGGCTAGGATTTTCAGGGTTTGGGAGGGAGAGAGGGTCCCACTTTGAAGGCCTCATGTGCAAAAGTCTGCTCTCCTCCCATGGTGAGTCTTAACCATATGTTAGGCTCCGGAGCCAATGACCAGGATTCAAACTCTAGCTCTTCAACTTGTGACGAGAACTTGAACAAGTTACTTAATCTCCCAAGCCTCAATTACCTTATCTGTAAAGACATACTTATAGTACCTAAATTACCAGGCTGTTGTGAAGATTAAACGAGATGCAAAAAAAAAAAAAAAACCCAAAAAAATGTTTAGTTTATTATCTGGTACATAGTAAGAACTGAATAACTGTTAACTATTTGCTTGCCCATCCTTGGGTGGCCTAAATCTCCAAGCGACCATCATTGAGAGATTTGGTGAAACAGACCATGATGACTGCTCTGGTTGGGTCCAAACATCAGGCAAGAGGAGCAGTAAAGGATAGCGCTTAAGACTCTGGATCCAGACTGCCTGGTTAAAATCCTTGCTCCACTATTTCCTATTGAGTCACTTTGGGTATGTTACTTCACCTCTCTGAACCTCAGTTTCGTCATCCCTGGTTAACAAGGGTAACAGTAAAATGGCCCCAGGGGGTCAGAGTATGGATTAAATCAGCAGTACACGCGGTACAGTGGCTGGCATATTTTAACTGCTCAATCAATTTATGCAAGCTGTTATCATCATGCTTTGGGTTTTGAGCTTTGCTCATATACGTAATGTGGACATCAAGAACCATTTCCTCATTCAGATGTTCTCATGACATAATCACAGAGGTGTCTAAATCTGGGAGGACAAGGCTTCCCAAAAGTGTTAAATTTCACTTTTCATCTTTTGACAAACCAGAAAGGGTTTGGGGCCCTTTCTCTGGACAGAATCCTTGTTCCCCCTGTCATGCCCATGTCTATCTCCCCAGGCATACATTTCCTGCCGGGCCTTTGAGGTCCTCTGGGGCACAGGGAGTTTGGGAGACGTAAGTCTCCTGGTCCCAGAGCTCTGTGGGCCTCTGTCTAATATGATGACCCACCGGGACTGAACACGGAGCCTCCCAGCACACAGTGGACACTCAGTCAGTATCTGTTACATGGTGAGTCAGATCTCAGGCACCAAGGTTACAGGCAAGAACATCCTGTAATGTGCTTACAGTATCAAGAAGATTAAGAGAAAAGAAAACAAAGCCAACGCCCAAGGACAGCACCCCATGAACGAAGCCCATTGAACACAGTGAGCCCCAGAGAGAATACGCAGATTCGGTGATTACCCCCAAAAGCAGAGTCATTTGATTTTTGCTGTTTGCTCCTGAGAGGAGAGGAAGAGCCGCACGTGACAGAGTAGGCCTCTTGCAGTCCTGACAGACAGAACGCGGATTGTCAACATGTGAGCAAGGTTATAGTCTCTCCTAGTAGCAGCTAAAATCACCCCCACCCCCACTCCACAAGGACCACTAGAAAAACACCTAGCACATCAGGTCTCAAAGCCTGGGCCTCCGGTGGTCAGGGGGCAGCTGGGCAGAGACCTGGAAGCCCTTTGAGGGCATCTAACACCTAAAGGCCAGCAAGGCCTGGCCCTGGCTTGAGGACCTGCCCCAGGGACTGGGACCCACTCACCTGAAGAGAGATGAATGCCAGAGTGACATCTGAGGAAGCACCTCTCTCCTCCACCACTCTTACCGCAATGCAGGGACACGTGGGGTGACACACTAGTGGGCAGGACCCCCTTCTCTTCTAGACAGGACAAAACACAGACACTTACAGAAAGAGAAGGACACTTTCAGGTGTGACAAGGATGGCTGAGTCCCATGCATCAAAGGCCCCAAGGAAAGAAGGTAGAGCTGACACCCAGCACAGAACACAGACACCAGGCACCATTTCCAATGAAGGTAAAGGAGCTCCTTGTGTGCTGCTCTTTTCATGCGGAAAAGCAACCAGGAAAACAGAAGTGAGTTCCAACCTACGCAGAAGCACAAGGAAACACCAAAGAGCCTGCAAAAGTATCTCCTGTTTTTGAACCATTTAAAGAATGGCTGCTGCAGCTGAGGAGAGGAGAATTCAGTGGAGGGATGGTCAGCTGCACTCCGGGTCCAGTCGGACGTGGGAAAGTGCTGCTGGGCCAATGGTGAGCCCACTGACTGAGTATGAGCCTCGGCGCCCCTTACCCACACAGTCCTTCTTATTCCAGTGGAGCTTGTACGTAGAGTGGCATTGGCATTCGTAGCTGCCCACCGTGTTCACACAGACCTGCTGACAGCCTCCGTTGTTGATGCTGCACTCATTGGTGTCTGTGGAACAAAACACTCTCCTGTCACAGCAGCCCATCGTTGACCTGGCTGACACTATCCCTCCCTGAGGAAGGAGCAAGAGGGAGTCACATGGTTGAAACTCACTAAACAAAGAAGGTACTGACTGCCTTCAAAATGTGCAGCTGATCCAACTCAGTGGATTTCCTGCCATGAGCTTTACAAGATGGTCTCATTCTTGACCAAACCATTCCCCCATTAGAGACACTCAGAAGGGGTCTCAGCCTACTCTCAGATGTTCAAACGCAGACACGGCACAAGCTTCCAATTTAAAACTCCACCATCTTCCTGGGCTACATATCAAGGGAGATAGACAGAATCAGGATTCCCCACTTGACAGTTCATATAGTTAAGGTATAGAAAAGGAAAATGACTTGCATTAATCCCCCTCAAGCTGAGACCGAGTCCAGGTTGGAAGGCAGCTCCAACTAAAACCCAGATACACATACATATTCAGGGAACATTTCTTTGGGGTTTCTTGATGGACAGGGATAGTACGTTGTCAGCTATGCCAAGGATGTGTTGAAAAGGAGAAGAGAGACATTATCTATAGCAAATCACTACTATCCATTCTTCTTAAGCACAGTTCACAAGGATTGGGCAGGAAGTATTTAGGCCAGCGGTTCCCAAATCCTCAGACCCTCAGAACCACCTTGGAAGCCCTAGACATTCTGAATCAGAATCCGAATCTGTATTCTCAAAGATTGCTGAACAAATCTGAGGATCAGGAGGAGCAGACTGGTGCCAAATCTGATTTAGGCCATGGTCTACTTGACCATAACATCGGGAGACATCAGGATATGTGGCTACATGGGCTCAGAGCAGAGAGAGAAATTGATGGTTCCACTTCCAGCTCAAAGACATGCATGAAGACCAGCTCAAAGAGCTCGAACCAAGGCTCCACAGCCAGTTCCTATGCACAGCAGGGCTATGGAATTGGTTGGTGACCTACCAAGCCTCTCTGAGGATTGTACTTTACTATGTGCTGGGAAGTTCCAACAGATAGAGTATCAGCTCCTGAGAGACATTTCCATTCTCTGAGTACAAGTGCATCAATAAAGTCAACAATGAATTCACAGCTGAAAGAGCTCAGCTCTTCTCTCTGCTCCATTTCACACTCAACGTGTTAAAGGATAAATGTGGGGAGATTTCCCTCAGCCGATGCTTCCCTTGAATCAATGGACTCTCTCCTGCTGTACAGGGACTGGAATGTTCTGTTCAACCCACAATGTAGGAAAATTGGCCTTAATCTGGGGAAAATTTAGGGGTAGACTCCGCTCTTTGGCAGGCCCAGTCTCATCCAACTCTAGAGGGATTCTGCTCACCTCCACAGTGGGTAAACCCGTAGAGGGTGTACCCTTTGTTGCAAGCACACGTGAATGTGCCAGGGTGGTTGATGCAGCTGTGGTCACAGGTCCTATCCAAAGAGCATTCGTCCACATCTGTAATTGTCAAAGGGAGAGGGGAGCTGAAACCAACTCTGCTGGATGCATGGAGAGAAGAACACATTTATAATCACACCAGTTACTGACCAACAACAAAAACAACACAGAGTAAAAAATTATCAATTCTCCCATTCGCTTGTGCTAAAGAAAGTGCCGAGCAGCCCACAAGAAGTATACTCACTGTCAGGACCCTTACTACCAAATGCTATTGCAAATTGCACCTGCCTAAAAGATCAATTGGTCTCTCTCACTCATATTTATTTGCAGGGCTGAGTAATTCAAAATATTTAAATGAAGGCAAATGAGATAACATACCTAAGAAAGGTGTGTAAACTATAAGGTATTACCTGTGCATCATTATCGTTATATTACTATTGGTAAAACAGCAATAGCAATCTTGTAAGCCATGGCCAATTAAAAGGAGAAAATACTTGAGTTGAAGATAAGTCTGGTTCCTATCTCTTTTGGATCTTTCCAGAATTAGTCTTCTGGCCAGTTGATCCTAGGTTTTAATGCCCTCTGCACTAAAAGAATACATTAACATTAACATAAAATAGTGATTTTCTATTGCAGACACTGGAATTTGATGTTTAAGCTCCAAACTAGATTCTCTTGGCCAATCTCTTGGCTTCGTTCCTCCCCCATGGTTCGGTCCCACAGGGACCCTCCCTTTCTTGTTCAGTGTGGAGGCATCCTTGGCTTCAGCTGAGGTCATGGAAACTAGCCTCAGGAGGCTGCATTTGCCAATCTAATCACCTCTTCTTTCCTGGTCTGGTCCTCACATCTCTGCTGCAGACTAGAATTTCAGTGCTTCACTTCTTCAACTCTTTGGAGGGTTTTAACAGAGTTACAACTTGCGACTCCAAATGGACAAACCAGGACCAGTGCAGGACTCACTGGAAGCCAACTAGACGATTGCTTGACCTCTTTTTCAACACCAAATATGCAAAACTACAGTAATAAAAACCAAACATTTGGAAGGAACTGGAGGAATGAAAAAATGAAACAAAAAAGGGCAAATTCTTACAAAACCTCTTCATCCCTAACTTTTCCCAGAAATCCTGGCAATTTCTTCAGTAAATTTATTCTGTGCAAATATTTGTTCTACCAAGAGTGACCAGTGAAAAATGAGAAAAATTCAGTTTCTTCCATAGTAATTGATGTCACTCTATGAGTTCTGTTATTACTATCAGCCAGTTGCCGAGAAAGTGGACTCATTCAGTAGCTGACTTTGGCTGCTCATGATGCATTTTCGCTTTGCCAAAAATAATGAGATCGCTTTTCTAATTCCTTTTTAATGTGTTTACACAGCTTAAAAAGTATTTCATGCTCTATACATTATGAAACATTATGTGGAACAGCAAATTTGCTTTCCAAGTCAAATGGAAGAAGACCACGCAACAATCATGTAGAATAAAATTGCTGAATTTAAAGGGGGCTATGCTCGAACCGCCTGACAAATTATATATTAAGAAGAAAAACCAAGAGAGAAATCTAATTGACACCATGAGGTTAAAAAAAGGTAGTTACATCTTTATAATCTGAAGTGAAATCAGATATTATTTTCCGATTTTGATTTAATTCTGGGATTTCTAGCAAAATAAGTTAAGCTATTCTTATTCCCAGAAATGGAACAGGAATAAGTGACAGCACGTCTTTCCTGAGAGCTTCTTCACGATTATCAACAGGGCATAAAATGTGCTCATCTGAAAATATACATGATGCCCCCCCAAAACAGATTGCCACCGCCCAAAACAGTTATTAACGTCAACAATTGCTATTCAGAGAGGCTCCATTGATGCACACCTTATGTGAGAGGGATGCTTCTGCGAAGGGGACTGCAATCCTGCCCAAAGACCGACCAGCCTCTCCGCCACTCAGTCCCCTCCCTCCCTCTCCACCATCTCTCTCCCCAAGCACCAAAGGCTGGTCATGAAAACAAGGGCTATAAGGAAGACGTCAACTGGTACATGACCTTGATTATGGGTTGACCCCAACTTTTTGCTAGGAAAAGGTAGGTGAACTAAATCTACAGCTTTCTGCCACCAAAGTTTGTTATAAAACCCATAACATTAAAGGAAATTTTAGAAAAGGAAAATTATTCATAATCTCAACACTCTAATGCAATCCTGTTTGCATTCTGTGATCCATTCCATGTCCAGCAGCGAGCTCTGCTGTAGTCACACCACATGGGTTCTTTGAAGTGTCCTTTAACCATTAACAGCTTAATTTCCAAAATAGACCTGTGAGCTACATCAGTATTTTATTCTAACTAACAGACGACATGAGTGAAGCATGGGCTAGAGGTTGGATTAATGACTCCATCAAGAAGCCCAGCGAGCCAGTCTCTGCCAGGGTGGGGTTTCATCTTCTCTGCTCTGACCAGCGGGCACTGCACAGCACAGCTATGTTTCGGGACATACCTTGGCAAGACTTCTCGTCTGTTAATAATTTAAATCCCTTTCTGCAGCTGCAGTCAAAACTGCCCACGGTGTTTTTGCAGAAATGATCACAACCTCCATTGCGGGTCTGGCACTCATCAATATCTGTAACAGGCAAGCATCAGCAAATCAGCCAGTGATACTTGCCCCGTTCCCCACAAATCCCTGAAGTGCTATTGTGTGTGCTTCATTATCCTCTGAAACAAAAACAGACCCTTAAACGCATTTAAGAATGTTTGCTGATGTTTTTAATCTTACACGTGTTTTCTTGTCTGGCTTAACCAGTTTTGAAAGACAAGCGCCTCATCCCCTTGAGAACTCTGCTTAACTCTGCCCTTGACTACCATTAAGGAAACAAACTCTGGGAAAGGACGGTGATGCCGTTATGTCCTCATCCTTGCACTGTTCTCTCAAGATAAGATGGCTGCCTTCGGTATCCTTTCCATCCCAGTTTAATGATTAAAGTTATAAGGAACTAGAACATTTGCTTTGGCAAATTACACAACGATCAAATAGCCTCGATGCTGTTAAATGATTCCTGATACTCAAATTAAGCTTATCTTTTCTCAGTTTCATCTGCTAACTGGTTATCTACTTTTTATCATGTTAAAGAACTAAGCCTTTGTACTCTTGCTCATGGAATACTAGCAAGTCATTGGGGTCCCTATTCATCAGTAAAAGTTAATGGTACAGTTATTCATTAAGTCTCTAGATAATAATCTTGGCTGTTATTTATATAATAATCTCTAGGCTGTTATTTATGATATGTTGATATTATCTCTTGCAAATGAACTTTTCCTTGAACTTCCGCCTTTTTCTAACAAGGCCACTGCCTGAAATGGATTATTTGATGCTTACAGAAGTTGACCTTCTCAACAGTTAGAGTAATTAAGTCGGTTCTAATTAAGATTACTCAATTATAACCTTCCACGAGCCCAGGGAAGAAAAGCTTCCATCAATATGAATCATAAGCAAATCTGGAGTCACTCAGGAGGTGTGGAGGGGAGGAGCTGCCTTGATCCCCACACAGTAGCAACATGGAGAGGCACAGGCTACCTTTACAGGTCTTCCCATCCAACTGGAGAGTGAATCCAACGGGACAACTGCAATGAACACCTGTTGAAGTATCCTTACAGGTGCGATCGCAGCCTCCATTGTTGACAGCACAGGTTTCTGACAAGGAGGTAAGAAAAAGGCAGTCAGCTTCCTAAAGAAGAGCTGATACAGCTGCAAGGAAAGGGATACTGGTGTAGTGTTAATACTTGACAAAATTCATGAAAGCCAAGAAGCGCAGTGGGGTACTCATGGTTTTATCCCAAGTCTCTGCCACCTACAGGTGAGAGACAGGGAGACGAAGTGCAGCTCCTCCCACCCGCCTAAATAGGTGACGTCTCCCCAGGAAGCTTGACAGGGTAACCAGAGGGGTAAAGATGCCTCTCCCAACCAGCTGAGCCTTGCCCCTCTACTGGCAGATTTGAAGCCACTAAAAGTTCCTGTTGACCAACAGCCAGTGACCTGCTAAGTGTGACCACATCTGGCAGGTTCAATGTGAAGCCCTTCAGCATGAGTACTGGGCAAAGCAAGAGAGGGTATGCATCGCCTACCCCAACCATTCCCTTGCTGCACACCAATGACTTTATCTTTGCAACTGCCAACAAACTCAGATTAGAAGTGTACCTTTCCCTGAAAAGAGAAAGATCTGTCATAACTATATGAAAAATCAGCCACAGTTGTTAAATTGTATCTATCAAGATGAAGAACAATAAGCAAATGGCCTTCTAGTTCTGCATTTCCTAGAGTTATTCCAAATAATAAACAAATGCTATTTAACATTCACCCAATTGTCAGCATCTAGGCATCTAGAAACAGATTTTACCTCCATAGCTACGCCACTGTAGAGGCTTGGGGGACAAGCTTAGTGCTGATTAAATAGGACGTATATGTTTATCTCTGCTGCCTCCTAAAATATCACTTAAATGAGAGGAAAAAGACTTTAAAAAGTTTAAATCCTTAAGGACAAATAAAATAGAAGACAACAGACGAGAGACGTCAAATCTTCTGGAAGTTGCGTTTTGATGGAGGAACCGTAACTGGCAGAGCAGAAAGCTAAACCCTCGCAGTCGGCAGAGGAGATGCCAACAAGCAGTAATCTCATACGAGCCACAGAATCCCAGAAAGGCCCAATCTTACAATTCATTTCCTCAGGGAGACAAGAAAAGTGTCCATGAAATAAGAACAGGTTCCTACAACAAAAGACCAAAGTAAAATTCTTGAAAAGTTAAAATATAAAAGCAGAAATTTAAAAAGAATCCTGTCAAGGGATTACAAGGGAAAAAAAAAAAATTAAAAGCCTCCTAGAAAGTAGAACAAAAATATCAAGGAGAGAAAAGAGAAGAAAATTACAGGATCAATCCAGGAGTTACAACAGCCACCTAATAGGAGTTCCAGAGAGAAAGATTAGGGAAAATGGAGAGAAGAAAATTACCGAAGAAAAAAGAAAATTTCTCAGAACCAGGGGACTTAAATGTCCCTACTGAAAAGGCCCACTGAGTACTCAACATAACAGGTGGGAGAGGTCCCTCAGTGAGGGATCTTATTGTGAAATTTCAGATCACCAGGGACAACCAGAAGACCCTGAAAACATCCAGAGAGAAGCTTTCATAGGTTCCACACAAAGACTCAAGACTAAAAATGACTTTAGACTTGAAACGACACTGAATGCCCAAAAACAATAAAGCACTATTCCAAACTCTGATGGAAGATTCTTTCCAGCTCTGACTTCTATACTGAGCCAAATTCTCAAAGAAGGGTGAAGGTGGCATATAAAGGCATTTTTCAGGCGTGCAAAACTTTTAAAAATCTTTATCTACCCATATAAACTAACAAAATTGACGACATGGGGTCCACCGAAACAGGAAAGTAGTGAAGGGAATTGCCAGGCTGCTGCTAAAGGCAAGGCCCGGAGGAGAGCTGTACAGCCGGCCCAGGGAGGCAGCCCCACCAGAGCAGAGTGGAAGCTTCAGAAGAGACTTTTTAAGAAGGAAATGGAATTGACAAGTTACCTGCTGTATCTGAGCACATTGAAAAGGGTTTTAGAGCTCCGTCAGAAATTTGCAAAAGAATCAGTAAGAGGTACTTAGAAAATGAAGCAAATAAAGAAAATATAATCATAGCCCCTTACAAGACTCAGGGGTGAATCATATTCAGATACGCATAGTCACAATAATATAAACGCATGTATTGATTTAAATCGTGATAGAATCATATTAAGGGTATGGGGAGCAGGGGAGAGTGTGTGCGCGTGTATTGGGGGAAGAGGCAGAAGAGAGCTAAGACTTAGACTTCTGTAGTAGAAAGTCGAAAGCTAGTATCTAACACTGGCACATCAAGATATAACCGGATACACTTTGCTTTTCTGAAATATGGGGGAGGGAGAGTCAGGAGAAGAAGAAACAACTAGGAGAAAGGAAAATCATTGCCTCTGGCAAAAGGGATGAGGGAATGGGAGGACATGAGACAAAGGAAATGATATGCTTCATTACAAGCTTAACAGCACTAATTAAGTTTTTGAAGTTTTTATATTATTCCTATGTACTATTTTAATTTAATGCAATTAAAAATAATCATTTTAATAGGGCAGAAAAGAGCTCAGAAATGTCACGAGCCTGGTAACCAATGGTTGCTCAATATCTCCCCTGACTATTAAATCCAGAAGCTATCAAAAGGTCGGTTTTGTTCAGGTCAAGCCAAGTTTTCTCCAGAACAAGTCAAAGGATCTGGCTGATCCCAACCCCCACGGCCACCGCCTCTACTTCTGCTCTCGTAGCCAGCTCTACCGGCAGACCTGCTGGCAGACACTCCCATGCCCCACAGCCAAGTGCCACTCTTCTCCATTCACCTCCTCTGCCATTGACATGGTCTGAGTCAGAAACAGAAGACTCAGTGGACAAACAAATCAGCCAAATCGCCACGGTAAGCTAGGGGTTGCCCAAAATGCCTTTGGTCACAGCTACTCAGAAGGAAGGGAGCTGACATTCCCTGACCACACACTAAGTCCTAGGCACTGGACTCGGGGCAACTTTGGATATTATTATCTTAGCTGAGCTTCCTGATAACCCTAAGAGGTAGATTTTATTACACCAATTTTAAAGAAAGACCAGGACACAGAGGCTCAAGGCAGATGCCCCAGTTTCGCAGCTGGCTGGGACAGCACTAGGATGCTAACCCATTAACTCTGACAGCTGGGCCAGTGCTGTCTGCACCATACCAGGGGTCTCAATGGGGACTGAGAAGAGCAGGGAGTGAAGGACAGACACAGCCTGGCTTGACAGGAGCTGCTCACCCCACTTCAGCTGGTCTGAGGGCACATGGGCCCCAGGTTCGGGCCTGATGTAGAAAGTTTGGGAGGGAAAGACACAATGGCCATGGCCAGGGGAGGGTGAGTGAGGCGCCTACCCATGAGCAGCCGCCGTTTCACCCGTTTATCCCCATCCGCCACTGACGTGGCATTGCTCTCCGTCACCTCCAGGGCAGGGTCCTCTGGCTCTACAAGAAATGCAAAAGAGCACAGTTCTCAGACTGAATGAGCCAGATTATTCATCCTCCGCACAACCACTTCTGCTGAAATCCCAGACATGAGAACAATGTAAGATATGTGACTTTCTTCACTCAATAAAAATGCATTGTAGCCAGGCTCTGCGGGAAACACAGCACGTTAAACGGCTGCAGAGCCTTAGTAAACAACAAACATGGAAAAGATCTTTGAAATATATTGCACTGACCAGAAACACTGGGGAATGGAAGCTTCCTAGTCACTCCAGTACCCTTAGTCCAGGACAAAAAGAATCTTGGGCCTGGAAACCTCTGAAACAGAGCTAGCAAAGGACACACCATAAAGGGCAGGGCAGGTGTCCTGCCAGAAATATGCATCCATGACTTCTGCAGACTGTAAAGGCTGCTGTGTCATCACAAACAGCTAGCTTTAACTTCGTGTCACCCTGGTTTCTTGGGATGTGTTGTCCCAGTCTCCAGAATACCAGCTTCAGGAGCAGCCTAGTCCAGGAGAGGAGAAAGGGCTTTCCAAGGTCGCACAGGGACAGAGGGACTGCCATGCCAGGCCTACTCCACTCCCACTGCCATATGTGAAGCAGTAGGGGACCCATTTGGGGGCAAATGCACTGGAAACCCCCTGCATCTGGTGCTAAACACCATTAAGAGTTGGGGTTGGGGTGGGCAGGCTGGGCAGACCTTCACCCAGTGTGGGGGTCACCACTCACCAAGGCAGCTCCTCCCATCTGCGTGCATCTTGTACTGTGGATGGCAGCTACACTCTGGGCCTTCAGCTGTGTCCTCACAGGAGTGCTGGCACCCGCCGTTTCCATGGTTACAGGTCACTGTGAGGAAAATGAATCAACACATAAAGCACTGAAATTTCCACAACAAGGGCCGTGTTTGCTCCAGAAGAACTCTGATTTCCATTCAGCAAGGATTTGAGCACCTAGTACCTGCTAGGCCCTGTGCATAAAAGAGATAGCCCCAACTCAGCGCCTGTCTCTGTCTATGGGCACAGATAGTCACAATATGAATGGTAGCAATGCTGCATGACGCAGTTGAGCAAAGCCACACTGGAAGAAGGCGATGGGAGAGTGGGGGGAGATTTTCACTATTTAAGGGAAATTATACCAAACAATTCTAGACTACTGCTTTGCTCTATCAGGGGAAGTTTGTAGCTAATACAGCTCTCCTGGGGGTTTGGGAAATGTTATAGCCCTGTATGTCTGGAACAAACAGACAATATTTAATTTGTACATATATGTTAGGACTTCTCTCATCAGATTCCATCTGCATTAGGTTAGAAGGGAGGGTAATCAGAGGAAATGATGACTCTTTGCACACAATTAATGCAACATTAACCAATAATTATGAAGACTATGTATGAACCCATTGATGGCAGGCCAAAAAAAAAACCCAACTACAAAACTATCTATTCATCAAACCGAAAAGCAGTTACCCCTGGCAAAGGAAATGGGAGGGAGAAAGTTATATGTTTTCCTTACACACTTTGGGCTATTTGAATTCTTACATAGGCATTTGTAATTTTTCTAATTTAAAAGAATAAAAACACTTTTGCAATGTCAGAAACTGTTCTCTGACTATAGTTATGTAAAAATTGTGTACGCCTATGAACAACTAAAAAGGAATATGAAAAACATGAAAGAACTGGTTATGTGATGGAATTCTGGATCTTTCTTTCTCTTTTCTCAAGAGTGATTAAATTACTTCAGTAGTGACAACTTAAAAACATCTTAAATTTTTAAAAATAAACTTTCAGATATGCTACTGGCCCTTGAAAAACTGAAAGACTGAGAGTCTCGTTCCATAGGCGATTCTCAAAGGACCTGCGTCCTCCTTTTGAAGATACTTGGAGCCAGGATAAGTGGTCTCCACTCTGCTCAGCCCACTGAAGCCCTCAGGGACAGTCTCACTTTTAGGGGCCCTAAGAGCTGTCAGAACCTGTTGTTTGTGTGTGATGGTGGCACCAGCCCTGGCTTGGCAAGCTTCAAGGCTGCATTTTGCTTTGTGATGGAAACATGGGGAGAAGTCTCTCACCAGCGAAACTATTTCCTCCTCTCTTAACGGCTAAAGTCTATCAAACTGGAGGGGGTCTTCCAGAAGGTCCATGGCTTCAGGAAGAGACCCTAAAGGGAAACCCTCAATGTTTCCTGTGGCATAAATAGTGACTTAGGAACACCTTTAATGGCTGATTGTTTCCTATGATCCATTGGAGTTTCATTCTTGTGTTTCATCATTGTGTGGCTGCATATAGCATTCATTGATCCATTCATTAAACAAATGTGAACTGAGTACATCCTGTGGTTGACACCAGGGGAAGACCAAGAGGCAAAAATAAGACAAGGTCCCTAACTGAGAGGGGCTCATAGCTGGGGAGACAGACACATATATACACAATACAACCCTGAGTGTCATACGCTGTAATTGAGGAATAAACAGTGCTGTGGGAGCCAAAATACAAAATGACTGCCCTGTCTGAGGCCATGGCGGTGGCTTCTGAAGTAGGAGAAGATAGGGATTAAGAGCACCAGCCTTAGAATTAGGCAGACCTACGTTTGAATCCTAATTTTCCACTCACTCCCTGTGTGACTTTGTTGCTTTGCCTTCTCCATAATTTTCTCAACTGAAAATGAGGATAATAATACTTAGCTCATAGGGTGGTGACTGTAAGAATTCAATGGAATATGGTACATCTTTGGACAAGCCTTTGCACATAGTAAATGCTCCCCTCAAAGTAGCTATTCTCTTTATCATTATTAGAAGTCAGGCAGGATATTATAGGTTGAGTGAGAATTCACCAACCCAGGAAGGGAGGAGGGCTTGGAAAAGGCTTGGAGGCATGAGAGAATATGGGCTGTTCTCCGAAAGGCAAGGAGTTTGTTGTTTGGGGAAAGAAGGCAGGTGAGGCTTGTACAAGAAGCAGGAACCAGGTAGCAAAGAGCTGTGACTGACAGATGAAGAATTTGATTTTATTCTATGGGAACGTGGAGACCTGGCCCCCAACATTCATACTCCTTACTCCTGAATTTCATTTCTAACTGGTTCCTTTATGAAACATCCTTTCCCTCCCCTACGGGAGACTACCCTTGTGCAACGAACTTGGTACTCAGTGGAGGTCAGTGTCTCATGCCAGCTGCCTTCCCTGAGGCTGCTGCTGTGCCATGAGGTGGCGTTTCTGAGGCCGGGCTGCAGAAGACAACCTCTGGGGTAGGGTGGTTCCCAGCATGGCTGTGTGCCAGTCTGTACTTACAGATGCAGTCTCTCTGGTTCTTGGCCAGCTCAAACCCAGGCCTGCACTCGCAGGCGACGCTGCCCCTCGGGGCCTCCTTGCAGATGTGACTACAGCCGTGATTCGTATTCATGCAGCTCAGACCTTCTGCAAAACAGCAGCATGCAGCTGGTGACCATGCCATGGCGAGAATCCTGAGCCCCAGGGGTGCCGTAAGGGGACAGGAGGTGGGCCATAGACCCGCCTGCCTGGGTCTCCATCAGCCTCATATTCTAAAAGACTATGTCATTAAAGTCAAGCCAAGTCAATTAACAGGGACATGAAAAAATGTCTTATGTCATCCAAGAGATATGATGTCCCAACTCTCCTAAAATGGTAGGAGTCCTCCTACTACACTGAAAAGAAAGCACCCATCGGGAACTCTCTGTTGGCAGTGGAATCAGAGCCTGTGGACTCCAGGATCTGGTACTCAGACTCTGATGTCTGCCACGTTGTTACCCATGAATGGATGGAGAATGCAATGAGACAAGGAGAATCTCCCTAAGAAAACCTGCAAAAGGACTGATGAAGAGTCCCACCTTTTCACATACTCTAGAAGATGATTTTCAGAAAATTTCCACCTTCTCTCCACCCCCACCAAATCCATACTTCGGAGGTCACTGTGACTACTGTATTTTGGCTTCACCACATGGACACCTGCCCAGCGACCTCTCTATGTGACCACCCTCACTTGGTCCCTGGGCCTTCCCTCAGCAGGCTCGGAGCACAACACAACAACAGAATGGAGAGACACCTCATACATGTGGTTTCCTTTACCTGCTGTAAAATTCTTTTTGGGTATTCTAGAATTTTCATTAGGCCCCATCTTGTGATCACAGAGGTGGGAAAGGGATTATTTGCTCGGGTGGTTAAACACGCATCTAAATGACGTGGTCATAGCAAAGTATACATCCGTGTGGTTTGCAGCATCGCACCTCTTCTCAAACCCATGCCACCTGCCAGCACTCTGAAGGAACTATTATCACACCCAAGAGTATCCTCAAAACCTCTGCTCAGTTGGCACTGCATTATTAAGTATGTGTTCACGTGATGCTCCTTTGCATTTGGGTAATGCAACTCTAAAACATCTCTAAGAGTAGGGATTTTGTTCTCAATGGTTCTCTACTAACAAGACCCTCTAGTACTGGAAGCAGCACTGCTTTAAATCCGACTACAAAAAGTTTTCATTCAGCCTCTCTAGGATCCGAGACTGTTCTGTATTGTGCCCCTGAAACCTGAGCCCATGGGTTCTAACGAAGTCAAAAGTCACCTCTCTCCAACTCTCACCACAGAGCCGTCGATGCATGCTTAACTGGAATCATTGTTTTGATACAACAGATGTCATTTCTATTCCAACAGACAGTGCAACAGTTAATACATCCCATACTCTCTTAAAACCATCTCATTTTTCCTCTGACAGTTACAAGCTGTTTGAACGCCAGCACTCAATCTGCTGGAGGTTGCTGGGATTCATCACCCATTCCGAGGGCTGCTGTCAATGAACACAGAACGAGGCTTGTGCTAGATTGGTGGGAAGCTCTCTCTTTGCTCAGGCTGATGATTTCTGAAGACGTCATTTGCTCCCATCACCGAGATGGCACAGGAGGTGAGGGCTGTCTCGGGAAGCAGCGTCCTGTCCTCTTAGGAAGGCCCAGTGAGCATTACATCTGTCCTTGGGTCTGCAGAGCATTTTAAAGAACAGGCACCAGGAGCACCTAGGGGTTGACACAACAGTGCCCAAGAAAAGGCAGCCATAACACCTGCAAAGTCCGCTCCCCAAACAGGTCAGCTGTTGCAGCTGCTTCTTTTTCACTCTGTTTACGAGTCTGTTAAGACATTTGCAGAGTGACCTTTACTATCTCAGAGCAATCCATTTACACAAGAAATATTTTGTAAGAACTGACTGGGTGCCAGATGCTATGGGGATACACAAAAAAATTTGCCCCCTGATGTCATATCAAGCTAGACCTAAAGTTACCAGGAGATAATGGAGGTTTAAATGGCTCTGGAAATGCTGAGGATTTTTCAAGAGGTGACCCCAAAGCTTTTCAGAGTACTGTGACTCAAAACAAGGCCACTACTAGGGGAGAGAGAAGGATCTGGTCCAAACTGAGAGGTCAGCCACGGTCCTGGCTCGCCCCAGAAACGGTCCTGGCAGTCCTGTTTAGGGTCATTAGTTCACCAGGAGGGAAACAGCTCAGAAACATTCGAAACAGCCCATTCTGGTGGTCCCTGGGCTCAGGGTCTCACTGAAGAATATTTCTGGAAACCGAATAAAAATATGCCTTGAGAACGGGGCAAGAAACCTTCCATAAAAGGGGCAACAGGTCCTGCTGAGAGCAGAGCCCCCTCCCCACTATGCCGACACCTTCCCCACTGCCCTGAAAAGGCAGCAGTACAAACAGCTAAAAATATTCTCAGAGCAGACAAAACAAAAGAGGAATGCTCATTCTGAGAGCCTGAGCACCCATGAATAGGGACAAAGGCAGGCTGGGGCGGTGCGTCTCTCTCCGGCCTACCCCCATTACATGGGTGAAAACACACAGTCTCTTTAGCAGAGGTTTGGGGTCTCTAAGGATAAAAGAAATCAATAGCTTGAGCTTTCCCTCAGAATCAGCTATTACAATCCCCTACACTGAAGAACATTCGGTAAATAATTATTAAAAACAACAAGAGCAACACTAGAAAATCCTAGCTTGCTCTGTCACCTCCTTTTAACCATTTTTCGAGTATCAGCTGTGGGTTTTAAAGTCTGTTTTAACACAGTTTCTAAGGGTTTAACGTGCACACTAAGGAGGAAATCCTAAAGGAACACTGTTTCCAGATTGTTCTGTTTGAAGAGTCAAAGCCCTAGGATGGAAGGGGTCTCGGTCACAGAGCCCTACAATCTGTGGGCTCAGCTGCCGTGAATTCACCAGGCCAACAGGTTGGAAGACAACAGAAAATGACAGAGAGCCCTTCCAGACCACAACTCAAATTCTCGGATTTTGGTTTTAGCTCCAGACAAATATGTTCATTTTAAATACTCTTCAGGGGTTCCAAGAATGTCTGAATTGTAGAAAATTTAGAAAACACAGATTGGGGAAAGGAACTGTTTTTGTATTTACTTCTGTTATGAAGAGTGTGTGTCTGTAATCATCTGGGGGGCTGGCCGCAGGGGAGACAGGGGCTGAGCTACTGCGCGGTAAGTAAGTACAAGGGTAGGAGTGGCTTCGTGAGGGTGTAGGATCCACTGGGGGTGTTCAAGCGACAGCCTCACCTATAGGACCCCACCTCCCTCCCTGCCACCTGAAGAGAACGCCAGGGTGACTTCCCAAGAAGCAGCTTTGAAAAACCAAAGAGGAGAGGCCCTGAGATCCTATCACTTGTGCCACTGGCATCTCAATTCTGCCTGGAACTGAATGCAAAGCTCACAGAAGAGTCCAGAGAACCCTGTAAGAAAATGAAACCCAACTGCTACTCTATCAAGGGCCACACCTGCATGAGATAAGAGATCCGTCTGATTAGAGCCAGTGGGAGACTTCCATGCTCCAACACTGCCAACGAGCGGGCTGGGGGAGAAGAGCCATCAACCCCACGGGCCCCTGGTGTCTTCTCTGGCCACTCTTCTTGGTACCCAAACAGGCCTTCTAGTTAGGTATAAGGAAAGAGCCATCATTCTTGGACAATGAGGCAAAAATCATCTTCCACAAAGAAACGTTTGAAAAGTACTAAAGCCATGGTTAAAACAATAAATCTAAAAATTTCTGATTAAATAGTAGAAGAAGTTAAAATCACCTCATTCTTAAGTTATGAGAATGAACCAGTAGCACATGCCGAAAGGAGTTAATAGTCTGATATTTAGGGCACTTCCCTTAAAATACAGGCACAGGCAACCCTGGGAGAAATACAGCCACCAAAATGTGGTTCTTGGGCTAAAGAAAGAGCAGAGAAGAATTAAAAGCACGTCACTTGGGTAAAAGTAACAAGTGGCCAACATTTACTTAATGCCTCCGCCTCCCAAGGATCCACTGAACTATAGAGGAATAAAAAAGGTATAAACCCAAAGTGAGAGAATGAATGGGAGGCCCATCAGAAGAGAAGAGTTTTCTGCAAATCTATGGAGGAATGGGAGGTGGCGACATAGATGAAGGAAACCACAGCACAGAGAGCCCAAGTCTGGGGAGGGGGTTCCCCTGCCCCTGGGAACCCCAGAGGCTCAGAGTTCAAAAACGCCAAACACAGGGAAGGCCAGATCTAGCCTGGGGATGAAAACAGGGCAATTTATTGCGTCTCCTTAGGAAGGCTCCAGCCCCCTCCCCACCCACCCAGAGCAAGGAGCAGGCTCCTACTTGGTGCTGTGGTTTGCAGCACCTTTTTGAAAAACTTGGCAGATGGTCCATTACATTTCTCCTGAGACACCTAGTCATGTTTAAAACGTACTCTATTTAAAGATTAGAATCAGAGAATGTGAGAGTTTGAAGCAACCTCAGCGGTCGCCCCATCCAACCCACTTACTTTGCCAGGTGAAGAAGTTGAAGCTAAAAGAACTTGCCCACGGTTACCCAGTAGCAGCGTCTGGACTCAGCCTCAGGCCTCCAGACTTCCTGTACCCCAAGCTTCCCCTCTAAAGTCACGGACGGTGGGAGAGATTTTCAGATGTGACCCTGCCCCCCACCCACAGCACAGCAGAGGTACCTTCTGAGCGGTGAATGCACGTGTGCTGATTGTCACTTAGGAAAAACCCCTCCTTGCAGCGGCACTCGTAGCTCCCCATGACGTTGACGCAGGTGTGCTGGCAGCCGCCATTGTTGTCCAGGCACTCGTCCACATCTGGAGGGGGAGAAGGCTTAGCCTTTGCTTTTGCAACTGTTTCAAATACCCCACCTAGCCCAGCAGGTTAGGGACCCGTACTAAGCAGAGATGAGGTCCCTCTTCTTGGCCCTGCATCATAGAACTTCTTAGAATTTAAGCCAATGGGGCCCCCAGATGATTAACCCAGCCCTCATGGGTCTGGGGCTCCCTTAAACAGGCCCTCCACATGGACAAAAGATAATCAGTTCAGTAAACACCTTCTCTTTCCAAAGCACAGTGCTAGAGGAGACAGTAAAATCCAGATGAGTAAGGTCAAATTCCTTCACTCTAGGAGCATGGCCTTCAGCAGAGGGAAAGAGACAAAACTACAAGGAATTATGAGATAAGGAAAAGCGGTACAAAGGAAGGAGAGGTCACATGTGGTTGTGGGTCTCAGGATGGGTTTTATGGAAAAGCCAATGAAGTATGGGCCCTGTGGGGTGTCTTCAATTACAAATCAGGAGAAGGGATTCTAGGCAGAAGAAAGAGCATGAGCACAGGCGTGAAGGCTGGGGAGCATGGAGTTTATTCAGATAACAGTGGGTCATCAATTTGGCTGGAGTACAGGCACATGCAGGGAAGTCACAGGAGACAGAGCTGGGAAGAAAGATTGGGGTCACACTGTGGACGACCTTGAATACCAGGCAAAGAAGTTCCTATTCCATTTGGGAGGCAACTGGGAACCATTGGAGCAGGGGTGACATGGTCAGTCCCTCGTGTTGGGAAGAATCAGGCAACAGCTCAGGGAAGAATGGGAAGCCTGGGAGGCCGGCTTCACCTGTGTGCCTGAAATAGCCTCGGCTGGTGCCAGCAGAGGACCAGACCTGGGGCCTGGGAGGGGGGATGCCTGGGAAGGAAGAAATAGAAGAGGACTGTGGACAAATTGTCTGTAGGGCAGAAAGCCATGTGGGCGTGGGGTGGGGTGGCTGAAACGTGGGAAGACGACCAGCGCTGGGTACAGAAAAGGGGGTGGAGACGCGGCTGGCCGCCACTGTGGGAGGGAGGTGAGAGTGTGAGATGCTGACATTCAGGGCTATGTCTGCCAGGTGGTGGGAAAGCTGAGCCTGGTGTTGTACAGACAGCCTTGAAAACCATTTACTTGTGATAGCCTGGTAAGGTGGTGGATGTAGATGAGAAAGCCAAAGGCAGAGTGTGAGAAGGGAGAGAAGGGGCACAGAAAGGAGATGGCCAGGGGCAGAATTCGGGAGAATACTAAGGGTAGGAGCAAGTAGACGAGACAGCAGGAGCCCCAGAGAAAGAGCCATCAGAAAGACAGAGGAGAGGCAGCCTTCCTCAGTGCCATGTCCCCAGGGCAGGGTTAAGGGACTGTCCTTCCACTGTGTCACATACTACCCTGTGCACAGCTCCATCAATATACTTATCACATTGCATTCTCAAAATCATTTTTTTTTAATTTGTACCTTTTGACCCCCCCAAATCTTTTACTTATCCATCTCCACTAGATTGCAAACTCCTTGAGGTCAGAGATTTTTGTTTAACTTAGCACAGCTCTGGAACCTGCAGGTGCACATTAACTGTTCACTGCATGAACCAACAAGCAGCAGAGCACAGCATCACCAGAGCCAAAGAAGAGGAACCTTCCAGAAAGCTTTCAGACACGAAAGAGGCTCAAGGAGAAGGCTGATATAAAAGCAATTTACTTTCTCCAGCCTGATTTCCCATGTGCCTATCACTAGCTCCTGGGCACATCCATAACAAGAAAATTCACATTTAAATATCTGTTATCTGGTTTCAAGCTTCAGATCTCACAGTCATCCGTCCTCCCACACTACCAGGCAGATGCCTTTCTAAACTGATGGGACTCAGGCCATCCCCTAGAGCCTAACAAACTTGCCCTTCCCGATGCCAAAGGGTGAAGGGAGCACATTCCAGAGGATGAGCCACGCTGGAACGCACCTGGCCTAGGTGTTCCACAGTGAGGACTCACGGGGAGCAGGAGAGGTCCGTTTCCTTGAACACCAAATCCTGGATTGGTTTTGAGTAAAACATGCTCCCCTCTGAGCTGCCACACCCCATCCCATGTTGAACCCACCATTCCTTTCCCCCAAAGCAATTAGACCTGTGTCATTAAGTTGGGTGATATACTCTGACTGAATTATTCAAAAGCGTGTGTGTTCACATGCACAAATATATATCACCAGGCTGGTGAGTTTCTCCAGACTATAAAACAGGGTTTCACCACTCTGCGTGTTAGAACCCTGACGCCTGGTCGCCGCCTCCTGAGACTCTGCTAGAACTAGTCTTGGCTGAGACCAAGGCAATGGTGTTGTTTTAAACTTCTCAAGTGATTCTAACGTGCAGCCAGAGTTGAGAAGCACTGCCACAAAACCGAATGGCTATGTTGTACTCCCAGACACTCAATAAATAGAAACTGAATTCAGGTGGAGTGAGCTGCACGGAGAGCTGTATTTCATTTTTCAGGCTCACAGGCATTCAGAATCTTGGGGCATGCTGGGTTCAGTGCCAGAGCTAAGTGGTGTTTGTACTCTGCAAATTCTGGCGAGTATATTTGTGGCTACTATGTGGTTAGGGGCCAAGGAGAGGTAAGGGGTCATCCCACAGAACACAGGAAACTCCGCTCCCAAAACATTTTGGCTTTGAGCTTCTTTCTGGTCACAAAATGCTTCGGTCCTTTCAAGTCTAAATACAGAGAAGTTTCTATGTTGGCTGGACCTGCTCTTCTCAATGTACCACTTTATTTTCTTGTGACTTCCTTTGAAAGAATCCTTAGCCCCTTCAGATATATTCAGTGGATGCTCAGGACCTTTCTGCAAGGCAGATCCTTGCTACCAAACCCACAAAGACACCTCAAGGAGGGGAAATGGAGGTAGTCTGCTGAAATATCTGTGTTAGCAGCCAAGGCAAGGACAGACTCCAGGCCTCAGGGTTTCTGAGCAGGCCTTTCCTCAGAACCGCCACACCCAACCCTGGCCGAGGTCCCTAACTCCTGGATGGTTTGGTTTGTTGTTCTCAGGAAACTCACACTTCCCCCAGGCTGTGGGTTTGGGCACAACTATGGTGACTGAGTCTGCCACCAGATACAAATCCTCAAAATGCTATTGTTGGTAAATCAAAGGGAAATGTGATATTTCCCCCAGAAAATGGTAAAAAAAAAAAAAAAAAAAATACTGTATGCTTCCCAACAAATCACACACTAAAAGTGATTTCATTTTTTTGAGTGTTTAATGACTCTCAGTTTATTGCTGCTCTCAGGATTTTCTCTCTAACATGTCTTTTTGTGGTACTGTTGGCCTAGAAAGTCTGCAAAGGGGTTGGTGATCCCCCAGCCCTCCAACAAGTGCTTGGAAGGCCAAGTGGTCTGACCTGAAGCCTGACCTCCCACACAGGGCACAGCAGGAAGGGACAGAATCTACTTCAGAATGGGGCACCAGGTGACAGCAAAGTAGACAAAGGTCATATGAGGAGTGAGTCCCAAATGGAAATACCCTTCTTCCCCAGCACTCAAATACAAGTTCTTATCTAGTGACTTTTATGCTGATCTCAAAGCAATTGATCAAGTGGCCATTCCCACTGCACCATAAGGAGGCATCTGAATAGCTGTCCCCGCAGAATCAGGGCCTAGCTCAAATGGCTCTTTGGTCATCCAACTGGACATCAGTGGCTCAACCACATGGAGGGTCATCAGTGTCAAAGGAATCTGATGCCGTCTGTCTCCCATGATGTCCTCCCTTACAGCTGATAGCACCAGCCTTAAAATGCAAACAGACCACAGATATCTGCCTCCCGGGTGTGCTGTATCCTCTAAGACTATCCAACACTCAACCTTATCCAATTGCTTGCTGTTTCTAAGTTCTGTTTTATTCTTGGCATAAGGAACCAATGTAAACGATGCTTTTGGCAGTCCCTAACTCAGGGACTGAAATTCCAACAGCTGTTTCTGTTTTGTGGAATACTAGGAGGATGTTAATGGAAGATTTCTGTTTGAATTTCTCTCCCTTTCAAGCAGAAAAAGAGAGGGGTCTACCTGGCTGAAATCCAGGCACACATTTGGAGTCATCAGGACAAAGATTTTACCTAGTTCTAGAATAGAGACACTTACAGCATTAAAAAAGTGGTTCTAAGTTAGGACCCTTTTTCTTTCTTTCTTTCTTTTTGAGGAAGATTAGCCCTGAGCTAACGGCTGCCAATCCTCCCCTTTTTGCTGAGGAAGATTGGCCCTGAGCTAACATCCGTACCCATCTTCCTCTACTTTATATGTGGGATGCCTGACACAGCATGGCTTGATAAGCAGTGCATAGGTCAGTGCCCAGGATCTAATTCAGATGACCGAAGTGGGGTGTGCAAACTTAACTGCTATGCAACCAGGCCGGCCCCTAAGACTCTTTTAATACAAGACCAAAGATCTTAAAGGTGACAAATCAATGTTAGAAAGTCAGTAAGTAGTAATGATGATGTCTGCCCATCTCCTCAGACTAATGGAGGATTTATATTATGAATGATCACATAAAACCTAAAACAGTTTACCTGATTTTCTATCAGGGAGTCTGATTTCTAGGGGGCCAGAAAACACAAGTCCTTGGGGGCTGTACCCCTTGGCCGAGTGGTTAAGTTTGCATGCTCTGCTTTGGTGGCCCAGGGTTTTGCTGGTTTGGATCCTGGGTGCGGGCCTAGCAGTGCTCATTAAGCCATGCTGAGGTGGTGTCCCACATAGCACAACTAGAAGGCCTCACGACTGAAAATATACAACTATGTACCGGGGGCTTTGGGGAGAAGAAGGAAAAATAAAGTCTTTAAAACAAATTTTAAAAAAGAAAACACAAGTCCTTGATCCCCTTCTTGTTTTAATGAGTATGTTTTCATCAAAGGAAAGAAAGGGGTGGGGGTGCCGAAGAGTAGGCCAAGGAGAACTGCCATTTCCAACCATTTTCCTTACCAAGACAATTATGACCGTCATGAGCCAACATGAAGCCATCAAAACAAGTGCAGCGATAATTGCCTGGAATATTCCAACAGTCATGGACACAGCCTCCGTTGAGCTCATTTTCACATTCATCAATGTCTGAGGAGTAAAACAGAAGTAAACCACACAGGTGTTATTTCTTAAGTATGGAGATACAGGTATTTACCTCTTAAACCGCCCACTTCTAGGAATCCATCCTGAAGATACATCTCCAAGAACAGGAAAATAAATATACATAAGGTTATTCACTGCAGCATTTGTAATTACAAAATACTAGAACAACCTAGATGCCCATAGGTAGCAGAGTAGTTGAATAATTATGGTACATTTACTCGATGCAGTACCATGTAGCTGTTAAAAAAAAAAGAGAGAAAGATCTCTATGAAATGATTTGCAGTGATTTCTAGAATATACTATTAAGTAAAAAAAAAAAAATCAAAATGCAAAAGAGTGATTGTAGTATGTTATCTTCATGTGATAAATAAGGGCATACAAAAACACACACACACACACATGAAATTCCAGCCTACTTTTTTGCAGAACTTGACAAGCTTATCCTAAAATTTATATAGAAATGCGAAAGACTCAGAAGAGCCAAAAACAATTTTGAAATAGGAGAACAGATGGGAGGACTTTCACTCACTATAAAGCTACAGTTATCAAGACAAACTGTGGTGCAGGCATGAAGACAGATATATAGACCAAAGGAACAGAATTGAGAGTCCAGAAATAAACCCTTAAATTTACGGTCACTTGATTTTAGACAAAAGTACTAAGGCAGTTTATTAGCAAAGAGGATAGTCTTTTCAACAAATGGTGCTGAGATAATTGGATAGCCATATGCAAAAAGATTAATTTAGACCCTTACCTCACACCATACACAAAAATCAACTCACAATGGATCGGAGACCTAAATGTAAGAGCTAAAACTATAAAGCTTTAAGACAAAATATAAAGCTTTTATGAGAAAATCTTTGAGACCTTGGATTAGGTAAAGATTTTTTAGATACAACACCAAACACACAATCCATAAATTTAAAAATTAATAAATTTGACTTTACCAAAATTCAAACCATTTGTACTTCAAAAGACACCATTAAGAAATGAAGACAAGCCACAGATTGGTAGAAAATATTTGCAAATCACATACCTTATAAAGGATTTACAAAGAACTCTTACAACTCGATAATAAGAAGACCAACAACTCAATTTCAGAAGGGGTAAAAGATTTGAATAGACATTTCACCAAAGATGATATGTGAATGGCTAATAAGCACATGAAAAGATGCTCAACATCATTAACTATTAGGGGAATTCAAATTAAAACCACAATGAGATATCATTTCACACAGAACAGTTAAAATAAACAAGACAGACAATGACAAATATTGACAAAGATGAGGAGAAATGGGAACCTTCATACGTTGCTGATGGTAACATAAGATTGCACGGCCACTTTGGAAAACAGTTTGGCAGTTGCTTAAAAGTTTAAACATAAATTTACCATACGACCCAGAAATTCCACTCCTGGGTATATACCAAGAGAAATGCAAAATTATGTCTACACAAAGACCTGCAGGTGAATGTTCATAGCAATACAATAGCCCCAAAGTAGAAACCCAAATGTCCATCAACTGGTGAATGAATAAACAAAATATGGTATACCCATATGAAGAAATACTAGTCAACAATAAAAAGGAATGAGATGCCAATACAGGCTACATGGATGAACCTCAAAAATATTATGCTAAGTGAAAGAAGTCAAACACAAAAGACCATATTTATGATTCCATCTATATAAACTGTCCAGAAAAGGCAAATCTAGAGAGACAGGAAGCAGATTAGAGGTTGCCTGGAGCCGGGGCAGGGAACAAGGTCTAACTGCTTGGGCACGAGGGATCTTACTGAGATGAGGAAAATGTTTGAAAATTATATTATGTGATGGTTGCACAACTTAGCTAATTTACCCAAAATCATTGATCTGTACACTTACTAGAAGTGGTGACTTTTATGATATGTAAATTATAACTCAGTAAAGTAGTTAAAAAGAAAATACACGCTTAGCTGTCTATTTGTGCAAAAGAAATATGGGAAGGATAAACCAGAAACTACAGAGACTGGTGAGCCACACTGAGTGGGAAAAGGGGTGGAAAGAAGGAGAAATGGGGACAGGTAACAGGAATAGCAGGAAGGAGTAACACTTCTCTGAGTTTTGTATAGCTTTGACTCTCAGAACCACAGTGATGTTTCACATACACGTGTGAATACATACATACGTATGTACATGTACATGCAATCAACCAGGAAGCAGCAGTAGGGGTGAGGGGAGGGATAAAAATGGAATACAAAGACAAACAAATGAACCTAACTATATTATAAATGAATAACACAACCACACCAAGGGGGATGGGGAAGAAAAGCACTAGCCTGAGTAACTTTGCAAAATAATACCTTCACTGGATGTTGTGAAGCTAAGAACAAAAATAGCCCTATACATGTACTGTGCCCTACTGAGTAAATGTATTTCACTCACAGGGTTATGGATTAGTAACTCTGTAAATACGTTTTGTGTATACTAGGATTGAACAAACAGGTAAACATATTGCAGATAATGAGAACCCTGTTTCTCACTGTTGGAGAAAGAAGTTCTACATAAGCAAAGAGGGAGGTTACAATGAATCTTGTGGTATTGCTTTGGAATTTAGAGTATCAGTGTAAGTCACTGTTTTTAATATATATACAAATGGATAGATATACGGAATAAATGTAGATATGTATGTATGCACGGGTTAATATACATACATATATTTTCTAGCTCTGCCCACTGACAGGGCCTAGGAGTAATGACTGCCCAGTAATAAAGAAAACACCAAGCATCCAGATCGTGGTTTCTATACACCATTTTCCAATAAAAGAAGCAGGACTCCTTAGAAGTCGTTGATTCCAGGGCTGGGGAGGGGAAAATACAAGATAATCTGGAGCATCTTGTGATACCAGAAAATCAGGAGTTTCTCAGAAAAGGATGAGGGCATGTCAGAAGGACATAGGAGACAATGTGAAGGACCTCCCAATGGCTACAGCTGGAACAATGTGAGCCCAAAATAAATAACGATACATATAATTAAATAAATTCCCATGAGTCTATAACTGGCATAAATACTTAAACACAGAAATCAATGCATAAATAAATGGGAGAGAAGGGACAGATCTTCCTTGCAGAAGAATCTCAATTCATAGATGCCTAAGAAAGGAGGGAAATATAAAATTACCCAAAGACACACATAATGGTAATAACTGTTGTGGGCAAGACCCACAGCTGGATGCTAAAATTAGGGAGGAAGATTTGCAAAGAAAGAGAATATTAGCATAGGCTGAAAGCATCTGCCCCAAGATAGGTTTCTATTGCAAAGGGAGAAAATAGTAACCTTGCAGTGGAGAAACTCAGAATACAGCCTCTTCACCAGGTAATCAAGATTAACATCACCTGTAAGGCAACATGCTGACATCGTGTGCCCTGATGTTCACACAATAGCACTTCTGTAGCAGCCTTGCCAGAACGTTTACCTTTGTATTACTATAAACACATAACCTCAATCTTATAGTGAGAAAACATAGGACATTGTCTTATCATGTCAGTTCCTACCATATCAATTCTTATCGTGAGGAAACACAAGGCAAACAAAAGAACTGAGCATTACTCGTCAAAAGTGTCAATGTCACAAAAGACCAGGGAAGACTAAGGAACTGTTACAGATGGGAGAATACTACAGCTAAATGTAAATGTAATGTGGGACTTTGAATTGGATTCTGGGTGGGAAACAAAGCATTAAGGAAAAACTGGTAAAATTTGAATAAGGTCTATAGTTTAGTTAATAATATTGTGCCAATGTTAATTTTCCTGGTTTTGAAACTGTCCGCTGTTTTATATAAACTGTCCTCTGTTTGAATGTTAACATTAGTATAAGATAAGTGAAGGGCATACGTGAATTCTGCACTATTTTTAAAATTTTTCTGAAGTCCAAAATTATTTCAAAATAAAAAGTTTATAAAATAACACAGCTCCTTAAACAAAGGCCAAGTTTAGATCCATCCTTTTTAAACTTGATTTAGTTCCCTAAACTGAGAAGTAAGGACCGTATAACAAATACTGACCACTGAAACATCCCCTCCCCAAAGTCTAGGATATAAGCAAAGATCATTTTGAACAAAATATCATTTATCTAAAACTGCTTCTGAATCACATTATTTTAAAAATACTTATTCAGGGCCCATACTTTCATTTCTCAAAAATTTTGGCAGAAGAAACTCGGTGAAGGATAAAATTCTGGTCACTCTGGGAAAACCCAGTTCCCAGCCTTGAACTTCAACAGGAGCACTGAAGCTGAGGATAAGCACACCACAAATATACCACAGGTTGGACCCAAGAGGCTTAAAAACTAACAAGCCAAGAAACACATCTTTGAAAGGAGTTACATCCTTGAATATCCATGTCTTTGAATCCTTGCCATCTTCATTTTCTCTCCTTTTCCTTCTAGGAAGAAAGTTTCCACTTCTAGCCTCCTGTACCAAGAAATCCAAACTAAACAGGGACATCCTTCCTCACTAGGTTTATAAATTCTACAGGTATTCAAAAGAGCAAATCCTTCTAGGGTTTTAGTTTAAAACAACAGTACAGAGTATACGCTCCCTGTTGACACTGATTACCTGTGGATAAAGGAATAGGAGGGTCTTTAATTTGCTATTTTACATATTTTTGTATTATTTGACTTTTTATAACAATAATCATCTATTATTTTAAAACCAATTTAAATATACAAAAGCAACAATGCTGGGGCTGGCCCAGTGGTGTAATGGTTAAGTTCGCGTGCTCCCCCTCAGAAGCCCGACGTTCGCAGGTTCAGATCCCTGGCGCGGACCTAGTACCACTCGTCAAGCCACGCTATGGCGGCATCCCACATAAAATAGAGGGAGATTGGCATAGACGTTAGCTCAGCAACAATCTTCCTCAAGCAAAAAGAGGAAGATTGGCAATAGATGTTAGCTCAGGGCCAATCTTCCTCACACAAAAAAAAGCTACGATGCCAATCATTAGTTATTTTAAACTCAGTAGTAGACTTTTCAACTATAAACTGTTAGCAATTCAATTTCATTTGTAATATGTCAAACCCAACAGCTAAGAATAAAGGAACTCTCGCCACTTGTGATGCAACATCCTTTACTAAATACGTCCTTTATCCAAAAGAAATCATGGCACAGTTTCTGCCCCCAGAGAGCATATAGTGAGCAGAGGACACAGTGAAAAAGTGAACATTTTTTTCCCCAAGCAGGGTACCAATTCGTGTGATTTCCAGTACTACATGGAATGTTTAATTCGGTGAGGTGTGGTATGGAGGAATCGGCAGAGAGGGCTCAGGGAGAGGTAGCTCTTTGGCCTCTGATGATGTAGAGCAGACAGAGAGATGGCTGTCTGAGTCTGGGAAAATAGGAACCTGGACACACAGAAGGGCTTTATGGATGGACCACCAACCCCACTTGCTGTGAAGCTGACCAGGAGCACGCCTCCTCTGATGCAAGAGGCAGGAGCTTTGCTCCTCACGCACAAAGGAGACCGAAGAGGATTTCTCACCCAACCAAAGAGGGACACCAGGAGGGTGAGTGAATAGGAGAGATTTGGGGCCAGCGACAGGGCCAGAGGAGATCTGATGCTTTCACCTGCAGGCTAATTGTGCGATCATGGCCACAAGTGTTTTTCCCAATTCCCCTGGGTCTCAGTGTCCCCGCCTGTACAGTCAGGGATGGGATGGGCTCAGAGCTCCCTGAAGAGCCCTGCCAGCTCCAACATGCCACGATTTCCATCCTCAGGAACAGCCTCCTCCTAGGAGGGGCCAGTCTCCGCAAGTTCTGAACTTCAGAATTCATCACACCACTGGCCCAGAACACAAAAGGGCAGAGTCCAGATTTTGGGCCCCCAGATCTGGAGCAGTAACGGCTTAAAACACCCCTTTGCACACATCTTTCCAGGGTGAACTTGCAGCTCCAAATGAGGCAGACTCTCAGTACAGCTCTAAAGCTCGGCAGGTTACAATGCCCAACAGCCCAAAGCCATGGACAGGATGGAGCCTCCAGAGCCTGCAGGGGAGGGCAGGACTCTGGCACTCAGACACAAGAGAGAGGGTGCAAACTGCCCCAAGGTAGGAGGGTGCAGTGGGCGGGCATGCAGGATCAGCCCTGCTCTGGCAGGCGTGGCTCTCCTGATCAACATGGCTATTGACTTTCTGTCCCCAAAGTGAGTGGGACCAAAAGACACTAAAGCACCTCTTTTCCTTTTCAGAACCTAGACAAAAGGACATTTCAGAGCCAGATAAAACCATATGATCAGCTCTGGGGGAGACCCGACATTCTCAGTCCTTTAAGGATCTGAAATGCATTCCCGGAGGGGAAGGGGCAGCACGTTTACCCACACGAGGAGCCTCTACAAGAGCAGAGCAGGTGGGGGGCTTCCCCCGCTGGCCCACCCACCACTGGTCCCCAAGTCACTTACCCTCACACTGCCTGCCCTCCCCTTGGTAGCCAGGCTTGCAGGAGCACTTGTAGGAGGTGAGTGTGTTCTGACACAGGGCATTGGTGTGGCAGTCATCTAGCCCTTGGGCACACTCGTCCACATCTGCAAAAGAGCACAGCAGCTCTTGGTATGGTGCCCCAAGCCCTGCGTGACCCGGCCTTGGCCTCTCTCGAGCATCATCTCCCACTGGCCCACCCCTTTTCACTCCTCACCAGCCAAACTGCTTGGGAGCCGCTGGGATGAACCAGACCATCTGCAGGCCCGTTTCCAGACACAGCCTGTTCCCTCTGACTGGAAGACCTCTCACCCTCTCTACTTGCCTTCAAGACTCAGCTCAGATCCACCTCCTCCAGGAAGCCTGCCATGACACTCATGTGTAGGTGAGGTGTAGTGTTCCCCAAGATGTGCTCCCATATTTATCTCCTTTCATAGCACATCACCTAGCGTTGTCACTGCTTTCCTGCCTGTCTCCCCCTCTAGATGGTCTTGATTACAGACTGGGTCTGTGTCCCTGATGCCAAGCACACTGCCTGGCACATGAGTAGGGAATAGCAAATGCCTGCTGGAGAAAGGATCAAGTTGGCCAAAAAAAGCTCTGAAAGCCGAGCAGTGTCTGTCAGCTTTCTCAGGGTCTGGGTTACGGGGTTGGGCGGGGGGGGGGGGGGGGGGGGGAAGCTTGCCCTGGGTGGTAAGCACACCGTCTCGAGCTCTCAGACGGTGCAAAGAGGGACCAGTGTCCCCCTTCCCAACTGCCCACCCTCTCAACCTCGAAACCGGCCTTGGCAGAAGTATCTCCTGGGTTGACACCGCTCCAGGATGCTAATTAAAACAAAAGAGTTTTGAAAGTATCGCAAGCCCAGTTAGGGCAGAACGTCCAGAGTACTCATCTCCGGGCCGAGCCCCCAGGCTTGTGGCCGCTCACGGGATTCCCTCCCGGATCCTTAAACCGCGGCTGTTCCGCACACGGAAAAGCCCCTGGAGGCGGCCCTGCAGCCGCGGGGGAACTGCCCGGCCCCCGGAGAAAGAGGAGCGAGCCGCCGGACCTCGCGCTGCGCCCCGGGGGGCCCCGGTTTCCCCATCGGCACGAGGAGGGGCTGGCCCCCGAGACTCCGGTGCCCTCCCTCCTGCTCAGCCGGAGAGGGTGCGCCCGGCAGGCGCTCTCCGCGGACCCCAGCGGCGGGGACCGGGCGGGAACTGTCATCAGCCCCGGGTCCGAGGCCGGGCCGCGCGCTCAGGCCCCGGGCCTTTAGCCCAAACGGTGGTGGCGCCTCGGCCTGGCTGGCGGGGGACGGCGCCGGGGGAGCAGGGGCCACGCGGAGCTCCCGCCGCCGAGACCCCGGCCCGGCCCGCCCGGCTCGGGGCGACCCCGCGGGGACCCGGGACCCCTTGGCGGCGCCGGCGCCGCCCGCCCAGCCAGGTGCGCCCGCGGTCGGACACTCACCCTCCGGCGGCCCCGGGGCGCGGCCGGGCGGGACGGCGGCCGTGAGCAGCAGCGGCAGCAGCAGCGGCAGCAGCGGCCGGGCCGCCCCGGGGCAGCCGCGGCCCGCGACCCCCATGGATGGCGCGGCGGCGGGCGGCGGAGGCGGCGGCGAGCGCGGCGGCGCCGGGAGGTGTGTGCGGGCGCCCTGCCCGCCGCTCCGACACCCCCGGCCCGGCCCGGCCCCGCCCGGCCCGAGCCCCGGCCTCATTTTCACACGGTCCTCCCCGGGCCGGGCGGGCGGGGGCAGTGCCGCCCTCCGCGCCCTCCCCTCCTCCTCCCGGCCCCGCGCGGAGGGGGCGCGGCGGCGGCCAGGGCGGCTGTCAGCCCGGAGGGGGCGGCCCCCGCCGGCCCCCGAGAGCCTCGTGCTCCGCCTGTTCGCTGCGTCTTACAACTTGACCCAGTCCGTCCTGTGAGGACAAACAGCCCTTCTAGGCTGAAATCTTAAGAGGGGGCGCCCGGGAAGTGTCCTGTGTAGCTCAGAGTCCTAGAGACCCCAAACCTCAAAAAAACCTATGGGCCTGTCCCACCTCTCCACTTGGGAGAGGGCAGTGTGGCTGGAGTGGGAGGGACTCCGCAGACTTCTGATCCCCGGGAGAAGTCAGCGAAGAGGGGGACCCCAGCTTCTCTGCGCATCTCAGCACCCAGTCTGCAGTCTTCTCCGTTCTACCCCACCCAGGCCCTCTGACGGCCACCCCACAGCACTCTGAGGGCAGTGGCCCACTTGTCCCACTTGTCCCACCGAGGGGCGCATTGAGGCTGTCCGTCTCTCTGGCACACTGCTGGGTCCAGAATCACAACAGAAAATGTTCACTTCGCTAAAATCCAGTTAAATGTATCTTCAGGGCAGCATAAGGGGTGAAGGGAAAGGGGACTAGAGGTCCACGGTGAGCCACCAGGGACAAGAGACAGCTCCAACTTTGCCTGGGCACAGGTGGTGACCATGACCACCTGAACTCATAAACATAGGTCTGGTCAACCACAAACACAGGCAATGCCTGTCACCTGGCCCTCCAAGCCAGACATCCTTCAAAGGGAACACACAGGCACAAGGCCTTCGGAAAACACCCTAGGCACAGGTGACTGGAGCCCACTATACCCAGCGCCACTCCAGGAGCGAGTGTAGCAACAGTTTCCAGATGCAACAAAACACCACACTCAGAGATTTTAAGATTCTTTGAGCTTCTCTCTATCTGTTCAATTTTCTCTTGTGAATATACACATATATACACGTGTGTATATATATGTGTATTCATTTTGGTAACCAGAAAAAAACAAACATCAACAAAAAATCCCCACGTAGCTTGTGCACAAAAACATATCTTCCTGGGCTGCATCCCTCCCCCTCCCCCACCACCCCTCCCCTCGCCGCTGCACCCCTCCTCTGCGGCCCCTTCCCCTCCCAAGCCCCTGGCACAGGGGCTGAGACCGCCTCTTTGGCCCTTGGTTGCTGGTGCTGCTGCCTGATGGAGAATCTGAGAAAATAACCTTTCTGTGGCTGTTTTTCTTCTGACCTTTTCATCCCCAGTGAAGGCAGGCAGGTTGCATCCCTTTTCTGTCTTTGCCCCTCCCTCCACCCCTTTTGTTGGGTGCCGAGAGAGAGACACTCAGCTATTTCTAGTCATAAGGGTGTTTTTTACACATTTGTAAATCTTCACTTAGGGAAACGTTCCCTCCGCCTTTGTCTTTGTGGCCTTAATGGTAGCCATAAATTACAGCCTTCTTTTCTCTCCACTGCATCAGGCTTCATTGCTTTTGAAATGATCAAAGTTATTTTCTTTGAAAATCCAACTAGAAACTGCCCATTGTGTGGCACAGACCCCTTTAGCTCCAGTCAAAGCATATAAATACATAAAGCTGCCCGTTGACCGCTCCGGGAGCCTCCTCCAGCCCCTTGTGCCTGGTAAAGAAATAAGACATGCGCTTTTCTTTCCCTCCACCGTTTCCCCAAGTTTGTGTTTCAGTCAGAACACAAATTAATAATGATAAAACCCAGTACTTTTTTGCCCAAGGGAGTCTGTTTTTGTGATGTTTCCGGGAAAACTTCACTCTAGCGCAGATCTCAGAAAGTGTTCTGAATCCTATTTTGTTTGCCCCAAGTTCCACACAAATGTCCTTTGAGCTGGTTGGCTCCCAGACTCCTGGGCAACCTTTCTGACGCTTCAGATTAAAGTCAATATGGTTTACAACTGGGAATTTCCACAGGGGAAAGGCTCCAGGGGAAACGTGTGTTCAAATGTCGATGTTTTCAGCGTTCCGATGTTGGGAGGGACTTGGTGGGCCCTGCGCTAGCTGCTGTCTGCCCTCTGTTGTCCAGTTGAGGTCCCCACAAACCTCTCTGAAAGACCGCAGGCACTGTCCCTGGTCTGAGGGTGAGTCTCTCGCCCCCTCTCCCGCCCTGTCAGACTTGAGAGGCCATGAACCAGGCCTGAGGGGAGAGGCAGCCCGGCCAGCCCCGTCTCACTGGTGCGGGCTCTGGCTCCAGAAAGACTGTGGAAGGGGAGGCCCCTGGGCGCCCCGGCACTATGTCTGACTAGGTAAACTCTGTTCACCGGACACCTTTCAATGCCCATCTGTTCTGACTTCTCAGCAGCCTTTGGAAACTCTCCCTCCCCTGGGTTTTCGTCACAGCAGGTAAGCTCCTGGTTTTCCTCCTACCTCTCGGGAAATTCCTTCTCCATCAACTTCTTGGGATCCTTCTCTACCCTCTCCCTGATGGCTCACTCATTTCCTTGATTCCATAATAGAAATCTCCTGTTTGGATCTCTCCCGAGAGCTTCAGTCCCATGTAGCCAATCGCCTACTGGATACCACCATCTTGATCTCCCACAGGTCCCTCAGAGTCAAGATCTTCAAAACAGAGTTCATCTTCTTCCCCAAACCTGCTGCTTCCCAATTACTCTTAGAGAAGAGCACCACCATTCTGCCAACACCAACTTGGAGACCTGGCAGTCATCCTGGACTCCATTTTCTCCCTTCCCATGACATCAAAACAATCACACCAACTCTACCTTCTTACCAACTCTCAAAACTGTTCTCTTCCTCCACGCAGGTTGCCTGAGTTCAGGGCCCCATCACCCCTTACCCAGCCTATCGCTCCTCGTCTGTGGGTTCCTTACTGGTCTCCTTGTCTATCACTTATCCCTCTTTAGTTTATCTTCCACAGTGGCTGCCAGAGTAAAAATAAATTTCATCATACCATTCCCAGTCTTCTTCAGCTTAAAGTCAAAACTCCCTTGATGCAACTGCTCTGGAGAACTGTGGGGCAGTATCTACTAAAGCAAAATGTGCCTACCCACTTCTAGGTATTTACCCAAGAGAAATGAGCGCATAAGTGCACCAAAAGACATGTACAAGAATGTTCCTTATAGCTGTATTTACACTAGCACAAAAATGGAAATAACCAAAATGTCCATCAACTAGAGAATACATAAACAAATTATGAAGTATTCATTCAATGGAATACTAAGGAGCAAGAAAATGTACAAACTCTGATACATGCAACAACATGGAGGCATCTCATGGTCATTATATTGAAAGAAGCCAGATACAAAAGGTACCTATTGTATAATTCCACTTCCATGAAGTTTAAGAACAGGCAGAACCAATTAATAGCAATAGAGGCCAGAATAGTAGTTCCCTCTGGGGATGGGTATTGACTGAAAGGAGCACGAAGGAACCTTTTGGGATGTTGGAAACGTTCTACATCTTGATCTGGGTGGTGATTATATGGATGTATACCTATGGAAAAATTTGTTGAGATGTTGGCTTAAACTTAACGCACTTGACTGTATGTGTTTTACCGCGACAAACAAGTTGAAACAAGAACTGCCAAAGACTTTTATGATCTGATCCCATTTTACCTTTCCCCCAAAAAGCAGTGAGGCCTGTGTGAAAGGACTAGAGTCTGCAGGTGAACAGGTCCTGAGAAGAACTAATGCAGAAAGGAAAACCCATCTTCTCTGGCACACATGTTAATTTCTCCTCCATGGCTGGCTTTCACATCTCCTGGAAAGCTTTTTCAATATGTCTTAGCTGCATATGAAGTAGTAAATTTTCCTGGTTGCTTACCCATTCCATCTCCCCCTTCCTCCATCCTAACAGGTGTTCACCCTGCCCCCAGGCAGCCCACTTCCTAGGAGGGAAAGTGCTCCACCCTCAGCTTTAGGCTCTGGAGTTGGCTTAACAATCAATATCTTTCGTTACATTCCCCTTGCAATAGTCATTGATTCAGGGGTATGCATGTGACAGCACTCCCCTCAGAGTGAACCTCAGACACTTTGCTTGAAAGGCTGAAATAAAGGGTTCTTTTTTCTTTCTGTGATGTGGTTGTGGTGTGTGAGAAACCGTGATCTTGATACCAACCAGAAGAGGGTAAGCCAAGAGAAACACTGAGAAGCCAACCCAAAGGCACTCCCCCAATCAGGACCTCCAGTTACATGTGCCAGCACACTTCCTTATTGTTTGAATTGCTTTTTTTTAACTGAGTTTTTATCCATACTTTTTAAAATGTGGTAAAACATATGTAACATAACAATTACTCTTTTAACCATTTTTAAATGTACAGTTTAGTGGCATTAAGTACATTCACATTGTTGCACAACCATCACCACCATCTATCACCAGATCTTTTTTCATCTTGCAAAACTGAAACTCTATAGCCGTTAAACAATAATTGCCCATTCTCCACCCTACCCCAGCTCCTGGCAACCACCATTCTACTTTCTATTTCTATGAATTTGACTACTCTAAGTACCTCATGTGAATGGAATCATACATATATATTCCATGTAGCATAATGTCTTCAAAGTTCATCCATATTGTAGCATGTGTCAGAAATTCCTTCCTTGTTAAGGCTGAATAATATTCTATTGTATATGTATACCACATTTTGTTTATCCATTCATCTGTCAATGGACACTTGGGTTGCGTTCACCTTTTGACTATCGTGAGTAATATTGCTGTGAATATGGATGTACAAATATTTATTTGTGTCCCTGCTTTCAATTCTTTTGAGTATATACCCAGAAGTGGAATTGCTAGAACATATGATAATTCTATTTTTAATTGCAGAACTGCAGTACTGTTTACCAT